GAGGAAAGGTAGGCCTCTCAAACTCTTCTATCCCCCTAGAGATAAAAGGCCAGCGTTCCTTCAAAGGAAGGTTGCTTGTTCATTTCTAGAGATACATGAAGCGGATTTTTTTCCTTTTATGTATGAGAAAAGCTACTAAAAGGAAAACCAAGGCTAATGGATGTCTTCTGTTTACTTCGAAACCTACTGAGACCTCTGCTCCACGTTCAAACTTTTATGAAATTCTATACCCAAGATTTTGTGGAGATAATGAATAATGATTGAGAGATGGTTGACCTGCCTGGCAGTATGCAGATGGTATTTTATGAAGGCACAGAGGCAGGTGCATACAGCAATTCCTGTGAATTTGTGATACAAGGAAAATTCATCTTTGTGCATTTAGGTATTTCCTCATAGAAAGCAGCACCATTTTCTAACACTGAGAGAAAGCAACCTGAATTTTTGGAGTTATGAGTTAGAAAAGTTTGGTGGGCTGTGACTTTGCTTCTTTATGGAGGAGAAGTCACATCTCTCTGCCTTCTTTACTGGCCGTGACATAGGTCTACAGTTGCTTATGGGACTTTGGGGATATTGCAAGGCCTTTTCTGTTGAATTTCTGTGTAATTCCAAACAGTGTGAACTTTTCAAATCACTTGAGAAGTGCCCCAGATGGTGTGACATTCTGCTTCATGGGAAGATTTGAAAGTATTCCCTTTGCATAATTTCTGGTTAACTATTTCAGTACATTTGAAATGGGAGCAAAGCAAAGCCAAAAACTCTGTTGACATTTTGGTGGTGTTTGTTTAACCTCCTAGTGCACAGGCTACATTTGTTGAACAATATTATTCTTACCTTTGCAAATCATCAGTAATTAATTCCCTTGGAAATATCTACTGCTGCACACAGACGGCTTGGGAGGCTGCTGACAGATCAGAGTTTTACATCAGGTGCTAACAAATTGATTATTAAATTTCATAACTGATTTATAGAGCAACTTAATTTCCGCATCTCTCTAATGCATTCACTTATTATATTTTCAAATAGTGCAGAATGGTTGGGTTCTTTTGTTGCTTCTACTGGCAAATTTAGCACATGAGATCTGAATGACTTAGTGCAGGGGTTAGTGAAGCATCGCACACTTGTGCAGTGCACAAGATGATGAATATATTTACCCGAAAAATACCTACTGCTTTGGATGTCCCTGTTAATTCCACTTGCTTTTTAACTGCCACACGGTGAGATTTTTCTACAACCGCTGTATAACTTGCAGTTAAAGCACCATGTTCTTGAGTCTCAGTCGTGCTGTGAATGATAAGAAGCAGTGACTATGTGCAGTGATGGAGCAGCTTATGTTCAGGTCCCAACACATACTTAAATTGTAATGGAAGAACACATTAGCTCACTTGGTGTGATGTTAAGTCACTGACTGAAGACATTTTAAGGAGGCATAGGGGTAAATTTTCAAAACGCTGCAAAGTTTTAACTATACAGTTTTTCCAGAAATATCAAATAGGAGTCATAGTTGAAGGGAGCAACTTGCTAGTGTCAATGCCAGGAGTAAACTCTACAGAAAAAACTGCTGACAATTTTTTGTTGGTTCTAGTTGGGCTTTTGAGGTAGAATTACGAACTATTTTAAAGTGAGGGACATTTTTTTTTCTTGGGCTCAGGAAGAAGCCTAATATAGATTACAGGAGTGTTTTTAATGAACTTGTGAAATCAAGGTCGTAGTTCTGTTATCACTTCAAATACTCCTGTCATAAAGCAAAGCTGTAGCGCCAGATGTGTGGCGTGAATTGTCATGTATCTTAAAAATTTTGACTCTGCATAATGATACGTTCACTGATCCGGAGCTCGGCACCGCTGAGATTAGAATCTGTCATCTGCAGCAGAAATTGGTAACCTGATGATGGCTCTTACATAGGTAATCTCATTCCTTTCCCCGCGTGAAAACGTCCAGGTCACAAAACCCTTCCTGCTGATCTGCAGCGATGGGGCCTCGCTGGCAGCCTGGCTGGGATGAGAGCAGGGAAACAGACCTGGACGCGGGGCCGGTGCCGGAGGAGCCGCGCTCAGCTCGGCGCCCAAGGTGGCCCTTGCGGCTTCTGCTCTCCTGGGCTTTCCTGGAGACACCTTTAGACCATTTACAAGCACTAACTCCAATTAAAAATAGTCATCCTACAAGGGTATCTTTCACTAGGATATCAGTTTAAAATGTTCCTGATTTTATATTTCTCCACAGATAATTTTTATAGAACATTGTAAACATTTGTGATTTTTCAGGCTCTTGAATTCTAATTATTTTTAAGTAAAAGAAAAAAAAATAGAACAAAGGTGGTGTTTGATAAGTACAAATCTCCTGAAAAAGACTGAAGCATGCTTTTCTTCCCCTCGTACAAGTGAATTAAATACCCCTACAGTTTAAAAATGACTTCATTCTGTAGTTTTATAATTCTTAAATCCCCTTTATTAATTAGTTCAGGTGGCAGGTTTAGGTATTGGGGGTATATTTTGCCTCTGATAGTTTTTTGTGGACTTATTAGTAAGGAGTGTCTCAATCTGGATAGGCAGAATACACTGTTGGCTCCAAACATGGGTCCTTCCTGTCTCACAGTGGCTTGTTACTTCTCAACACATTATTCCATGTAGCATAATTCATTTTAAAAGTGCCATATTTGTTAGGAGAGGATAGTGGTAGTATTTTTTTATGGTGGGTTGTGGAAGTGCTGATGTGCCTCTCTGCTCAAACAGGAGGCTCCTTATACCAGCAACTGCATCTGTGCTGAGGATGACAGTGCCTTTCCCCAGCATATTTACAAATCTGTAAATTGATTCTTGACAGAGCTTTTCAGAAACTTTCAGAAATTGCACACATGGACTCTCAGCCTTCGTGAAGCTTTGTCTTTCTCCTGGCAAGTGTACCCTGCGCACAATGTGAACTGAGATTAGAAATGAATACTGGCAAAACAATATTTGATAGAAGGCTGGCAAATATATTTTTGATTAAACATGCCAGAAGTGCTATGATACCTCTTTAAAAATACAGTCTCTAGTCTCATAGTTCAGCCTGCCTGAATTTTATTCCTTTCATTCAAGTGCTCTTTGCTGAGTTAGTCACAAAGATGAAAAAAGCAATGACTTTGTGCAAGTCAGTTTGAATAGAAACAGCGACCCTTGCCTTTAAAAGGGCATTCCCCTTTATCTTCAATGTCTTTTCCCAGGTATAGAATGTATAAGCACATATTATGTGTCTAAGTTTCAGTGACCTAAAAAAAATCAGAAATTCAGCCCATCAGAAAATGAGCTTCCCAAAATACACAGATGTTTCATACTGCTTCTGAGGCTTTTTTTTTCCTTCTCCCAGATTGGCACTGATACAGATGCTACATTTTTCACTGTTATGATGTTCACTTCTTACTAAACAATGCTGTATTGGTAACTTCTGTGTGGGCTTCAAATTAGAATTATTTTACTGAGGAAATGCAGCCTACTGTTAAGATCACTGATCACGCAACTCTGAGTATTTAGCTGATGTGCATTTGAGTAGGAAGGCTATCAAAATCTGGATTTTTCAAACATACTTGAAGGAATCTAATTCACTGAGAATTGTATGACAACCTGAGGCTTAATTTCTCACATTCTTTTCCAGAATTGCTTTTGTAGTTGCTCAGAGTTGAGACAAATGTGCCTTCCAACCATGTATGAAAATGATCCTGACTTTGTCTCTTATTTTGTTTTTGGTAGTTGGACTGTGAAGAGGTAATTGTATAGAAGAGAAGGCAAGCAGTCCTTTTGCCCTCACATTAGAGTTTGTTGGGTTTGTTAGGAATCTCTAGAATTGGGTGAGGAGACACGACTGGTTTTGTTTTTGTCATGAGATTTGACCAATTATGGTAAAGACATAATAGGCTGGAACAAGCAAAACAAACAAATGTGACAGACTTTATTATTGTGGGATTAAGACCTCTTGGATATTAGTGCATGGTCTGTGCAGGGTTGAAAAATGTCTGTTTGACAGTCTTTGCTTTGTGTGATTCATCTGATGTCTGAGATTGGAGTCTTTGCTTAGTTCCATAAGTATTCAGCAAAGGATAATTAAAAACAGCAAAGCTGTTTGTCCTTGACCTTAGTTGGCAATTGGGAAGGCTGCAAGGTGTTCAGCATCCTCGCAGTGGTGCTGCCAAAGAAGTTTTCGAGACCTGAGTTTGAATTTGAGATGTCTGTGGCATGACTCTTCCAGTATAGTTAGAATGGTAGAATCTTGCCTTTTATAGAGCAGATTAAGAACAGTTCAATTTGAGATCTCTTAATCATGAGATCCCTTTAGAAACAATGTTAGGTTACTGAAGTCACTTAATGAATGTAGTCAGTGACTTCATTCAGACTCTGATTTGTAGATCTCATATGTACAACGGTACATTTCAGTCCACGCAAATTACACCTGCTGGGGTTTTACAAGGTTTTGTTTTCCAATCCAGTCTTTTAAAACTTCTTGTATTTACTAGAATACTATATAAGCCTCAGAGGTATAAAATGCATGGGCATGAGTATTATTGCATTCTGGATTCTTTTCTTAATTCCATTTCCTGTTCTTCACTGAGAAGATATCTGAAGCAAAGCTGCTTTGCTCTACTCTCTTGGACCAAATTTTGTTTTGACAATCTTCTTTGACAATTGCAATGGTTTAATAACATCTGGGTGAATGGACAGGGATTGGGTTATACCTGCGACTTGTATGTATTTAAGAATCTGATCCACCCATGGGCGTCAGCTCTCCATTCAGTCACTGCTCTTGTTCTGTCGATGTGAATTTAACAGAGAGAATTCTCTAGTGCATGGTTTTAGAGATGTTAAATGTTAAAATTTTAGTTGCTATTTTGGAGGAAATGAAAAAGCTGTGTGGCCTTCCCCTGGTGGGCATCTTGAGATGACATGTTGACCCAATTCACACACAAATATAATCGATGCACTAAGCTTTTTCTCCTTGCTTTAATTTTATTCTTTATTGCTTTAATTATTCAGGCCTCTTCACATACTGATCTGTAATGCTGCCATTTTTGGTGCTCCATGGTGCTTGACGGAGGATGACCTGGAGTCTACCTTCCAGGTGAATCACCTGGGGCATTTTTACCTTGTCCAGCTCCTTGAAGATGTTCTACGTCGTTCATCTCCTGCAAGAGTAGTTGTGGTGTCCTCAGAATCACACAGGTTGGTTATTTTTAAAGTGCATTTCTGATTTATCTGAAATTTGCAATCTTTGCAACTGAAAACTGCGGTGGTAGAACTTCACTGGAAATACAGAACTCTTAAAAATGAAAAGCCTTGCTCTAAAACATTTTTGTTTGACTGTTTGAAAATAGAAGGTTCGCTAATTTTGTGGATGTTGCTTTATCTGACTCTGTTACTGTGTAAAGTGTGCTCCAGTTTTATAATACTATGTAGGAATTTTTTGATCATTCTTTGTATAAATGCAGATTTTCACTTCATTTCAGACCCCTCATTGATTTTGCGAGAAGATGGAATAATAATTGATTAAATCTGAATGACATGACCAATATTGATTTGTCATTCAACAACTTCAACATCTTACCAAGAGGCATGTGCAGTTATTTTAGCAGGAGAAACAATGCAATTAAAAACAGTTAGATGAAATCCAATTGTTTTATAATGAGAAATTAGGGAATTCAATGCAGACATTGGCTGTATAATTGTAAAATGGGAAATACTGTTGTTAATAACATATTAGAAATCTGACCGTTCTTCTTCTGGTAAAATTTTAATTAAGGTGATAGATGCCCATCTTTTTTATTGCAATGAGGAGTTGCCAGAAAAAAAATAATATGAGGTTTTGCTTTACTTTACACATGCTACTGATGTTTGTTTAGAAATGTATTAATATCTGGAAAAGACTTTATTGAAATAATAAAGCTGATTATGCAAAATGAATGGCCCTGATTCTGAATTTTAATGTGTAAGAACCATTTACTGGCTTTAGCGCAGGGATTGCAGGTTCATACCTCTAATGTCCATCTTTAAACATTACTGTTGATTTCTATTTCACTTTTGGTTGTGTGTAAGAGCGTTAGCAAACCAAAAGGAAAAAATGTGCAAGTGCTCCTTCCCCTTCAATATTTCAGAAATGTTTTAGTGACCTAGAATGAAGCTTATTTTTTTTAATCATGTTTCCATAAAATGTAACCCCAGGGACCTGGTAGAGAGAGACCAGCCAAGGGTCAGGCTGAAACCTTTATCACTTCCAAACACAGGGGCTTATGGTATAAATGACATACTGCAGATAGATTTACTTTTACCATTTTAAATTTATGATGGCTGAAATGAAAGGAAGCAATAGAAAATGGCCGTAATAATCCTCCCCGGTGTTAAAAGACATGAAATGTCTAGTAATTAGGTGGTAACAAAATCTGGACACCCTTATCTTTGCAAATCACACCAGGTTTGTGAAAGCAAGTAGCAGAGTCCTGTTAGGAGTGAGGGAGGCTACTGCAGGGCAGGCAAGATAGCTCTAGAAATAAATCTGCCAACTCCAATCACTTGCCAGATGTGGAGGGCACAATGGGATACGTATAAATGAGCTGTTATTTAATGGGAGATTATGTTGAATTGTCAGCTGCTTGTTCCCCTTTGTAAGCTTCTATCTCAGATAGTATTTTAAATGACATCTTTGTTTTTCACTGTATAAGGGCTACGTATAACTAGAGCTGATATCTCTGTGCATGTCCCTATCTTGTTTTTAAAAAACGTTTTTAAAGTGCTCATTGTTCACCCAGTAAGATCACCCGAGGTTTCTAGAAGCTCATCAAAAAATAAGTAGCAATCTCAAAATAGAATCATAGAATCATGACTGCTAGTTGTTGGTTTTCTTTTTTTGAGGAGTCCAATTCATGTATATACTTGATATATTCATGTTTTAAAAGAACACTGAAATGACTGCCTATTCCTTTTGCTGTTGTTGTTTCCTGTCTCCTTAATGGCAAGATACCGCTGTAAGGAGTTAGTTTAGACATTAGGTGTTATTGTGCAGTAGTACTTTCTGACCTACTTGAGGGCTCTGAGCCTTAAACTATGTTGTAAAACAGAAGTGTTGGTATCTAATTACCTCCATAAACCTTGGCTGGGTCTTTTTGTTGGAGTCAAGACCCCCTGTTAGGGGAAAAATAAAGTACTGTTTTTGCTGAAAATATTATACTAGATTGCTGCAAGGCAAAATATTTATTTGCCTTGCTGGCTCTTCCTTCTCACTTAGTTACTTCTCTGGATTTGGTGCAAATGAATTCTTTTTAAATTAATCTTTTAGGTAGTTTAAGTACATGATATTAAAGTCAGAATAATGAATAGGTTGACTTTCCTCCTGTCTTTATTTCTGTGTAGTTAATTTGATTGTACAGCCCTTACCCCACTGAATTTGAGAGGACTGCATACCTAAGGAAGATGGACTCGCGGAAGCAGGACTTGCAGGACTGCCCTCAAAATATGCCACTGTTTCCATTGCACAGTACACACAAAGTAGCTCATTTATAGAGTGTTGTTGGGTGTTCTGAAAGGTTATGTGCAATATGAATATATAAAATTCCTCCCAGAATAGACCTGTTAATTTCAGAAATGTATTTTATCTAATTGTGAAAATTATGAAAGAGGAATTTGTTGTTGAAATTGAAGTGCTAATTCTGCAAGATACAGAGCATCCTGGATTCCTCTTGAGTTCAAATACTGTAGTTGCTCTTCTCTGTGTGTATTATAATTCTGCTCGCAGAATGAATGTAGAAATTCCAGCTGATCTCTTCATTTCTGGGCATGAGATGCAAAATTAGTAAAGATATTTTAAAACATTTTTCGAGTGTGTACTGTAATTATGTTTATCCCTGTGCTCTCCAGCTGATTCTGAAAACTCTGAGTATTAAAAAGAGCTTGCTAAATCCTTTTTATATTTAGCAGCACTCCTGAGTGGAACATAGATCTGTAAATAAACATAGTATTATTTCCTAATACTAAGATATATGAATAATTAGATAAATCAAATTTGTAAGAATTGGAAAACTTGTTATCTGGAAAATTCCTTTTCTTCATATAAATGCCATCAGAACATTCCTTACTTTGTTATTAAAAAAAGGAGGGGTGAGGAGAAACAAACAGCTGGTGTTTAATGACTCTGTCAGACCCAATTAAAAAACATCAACTAGTTACTTTGATTTGTGTTCAGCCATGCCATGGGTATACTTAAAAACATTATACTCTGCCAGAACTCATTTTGGCTTTGTTTACATTTATCTTTTAAACATATAAGACTATTGATGGCAAGTTACCAAGGTTATAACCCCTTTATATTCATCAATTTTTAATCTAAAAAAGAGTCTAAGAAGCAGTGAGACTCATCCATAGTTACTTGAACACTTAAATGAAAGTGTGCAGTACATGAACACTGGAAGAAATAATCAAGGGAAGGGAAGAAGGGCAAATAAAGGAAAGAGTTCTGCCTTTCTGTTTCTGTAATGCAGAGTTATTTTACCTCACATAATTTACTCTCAGGTAATTGTACTTTTGAGGATCTATGGCAAAATATTTTATTCTCAATTTAAGAGAATGTGATTCATAAATGGAGTACAATGTATTTATTACAACCTCTTGTGACTTGTTTTAAGTAGCATTTATTTCTGCTGGGGCTATTCCTTTGGCCTCAAACGATTTCCAGTAGATACCAATAATCACAAAATAAGGGTTTTTTGGATGGTTCTGGCCGAACTCTACTCTGTTATCTTATTTTATGTTTTCTAAATGAAAGCAAAATTAACTGAGGGATACCTGAGGCATATTTCTTGTTTTTCAGATTTACAGAAATTAAAGACAACTCTGGGAAGCTTGATTTCAGCCTGCTTTCTCCATCTAAGAAGGAGTATTGGGCTATGCTGGCCTACAATCGTTCCAAGCTTTGCAATATACTGTTCTCCAATGAGCTGAACCGACGCCTTGCTCCCCACGGGGTGACGTCTAATGCTGTCCATCCTGGAAACATGATGTACTCCTCGCTTCACCGGAGCTGGTGGGTGTACACCCTGCTGTTTACCTTGGCTCGGCCTTTCACCAAGTCCATGGTGAGTGAATGATTTAAAGTGTTTTACACAACTTCAGTTTTCCAATCAAGGGAGTGAAGTTATAAAAATCCAGATGTATGTATTTGCTTTAAGTTTTTGCCTCTTGTAATCGTAACCTTACTTTAATGGCAAACATAGTGCCAAGAGAGCCCGTGTAGAAAAGGATGCTTAAACAACTTCACATCAATTTTGCCAATCTTCAGTAAAAGTACCACATTAGATGGATCATGCAACTTCCTTGGAATGTCTGATTTTGGCCTGCTGTGGTTAAGGTAGCTTTGTAATTCTGTTCTAAGCTTCTATTATAAGATGCGTAGGGATTAGTAGGGTAAGATTAGCAGGGAACAAATCAAGTTTTGGTTCAACCAACAAATGAAGTGTTGGTTGGTTCTGGGGGATTGTGCTGTCGCTAAGCTGGACTGCACTTTGTAGAGGACATCTGCATAGGCTTCCTCACTTCTGTCTCCGGAGCTTATATGAGCTTTTAGGTCAGGATGCAGCATGCGTGGGGGTTGTGGACTGTCTGCCCCTATTGCCCAGTGCAGCACGAGGCAGCAGAGCCAAGCCTGCCTGCCACGGAGCAGGGCCCGAAACGGGGAGACAGCTACCCCTGCCCAGGCTGCAAGGAGAGAAGGGAGGCATTGCTAGGACAAGGAAAGGGCCAGGCAGGTCTATCCAGGCTAGCTGTACTCTGCCCCACACAGCCCGTGCCAGGCGGAGAGCCCGGTGCCGCGTCTGCCGCCTCCTAGTGAAAGCTGTGAATAAAAAATACTCACATTTTTAATTTGTGCTTCACAAGCTAGACTCGCTTGGTGTTCTGGCATAGCAAAGAATAAAGTTCATAGTTACAGCTCTTCTGGGAACTCTGAACTCAGCTGCATACCCTGTGCAGAAGAAAGTGGGAGCATACTTTTCTTCCCCTACTAGATTGTTCAGAATAACATAGTTGTTTTTATGTCTGTCCTGGCTGCTACTTACTTCTGAGAACATTAGTTTTCACAGCTTTGCCTTAGTTGGTGTCATTTTCTGTGGCAGTTATTAAATTATCTATCTAAAGTTTGTTTACTAGAAAGCAAAACATTGCTTTGCTTCATTTGAAACAATGAGCAAACATATACTGTGTGTTCAAAAAGCTTCATTTTAATGCAATTACTCTGTGCATGTTAAAAAGCGCCTATGTGGTAGATGATAAATATAGCATTTTTTTTTTCAGAAGTGCATGTTTCTGCATGCTGCGAATCTCTGTTTCTGGGAGAGGTCCTGCAGCCTCTGGCACGCGGTGCTTGGAGTGCTCGGCAGGACAGAACTGAGCTCAGGAAACACTGCCCGTAGCCGTTCAGCTTTAGCTGATTCCCTGAAGCCCCGAGAAGCCGTATTCTGGTATCACGCTCCCTATTTCCTTACTTGCTGTTATTTGCTGTGACTACGGTGACTCAATTTCGGTAATTAGGACACTCTTCATGAAGTCAGGCTATTTTAAGCTTCTGCATAAGGAATGGTGTTGCAGATCACTATTTTTATAATGTGGATTTCAAGAAAAAAAAGAAAGAAAAACCTGCTCTTTCAAGCGTTAGGCTTTTATATATGCAACTAGTCATTTCTGTGAATGGTTCATACCTTACTGAAAGGAAAAATGCAACTTAATCTTCCAAATCTGTTTTATGATTGCGTGCATTATAAAAATTATGGTATATTTGTGCTGACTATAGTGAACCTTCCTTTGGAATCACAGAGAATCAACTGATCAGCTTTTGAAATATAATACAGTATTTATGTTACTGATGGTTACAGGGTATGCAGCAAATACTTAAAGTAAGCAGAGTACTGCCTTCAAGGTCTCAAATGTACAACTTGGTTAAGCAGAAGTGGAGAACGAGTAATTTTTGATGGATGAAATAGTTGCAAATAATTTATCATTTTATTATAGTAGTAACTGTAGCCCCGATGGTGTGCCACGTGCCTCTCATTTACCACTACCTAGGTACCCAGTAAGTTGGAGGAGTTTACAATATAATTAGAAATAAACTGAAGCAAGTGTCTCCTGTAAATAGCCCAAGTCCATGACCAGCTGGTTGGCTCCGAGACCTTGGGTGTGAGGGTTGATTTTAAGACATCCACAAGGCATGACCAGCACAGCTATGTGGCATGTTTTGTTTTAAAATAATGCTAGTTGTTCAGAACCTAATTTGCTTCTAGTTATGTACAAAACTAAAATTAAATGAATTTATTGCAAGCTCCTCGCTTAAACCGCATATATTATCTAGTGTCACCCGCAGGGGATTTCGTCGGGGTACCATGGCATGTAAAATCAGAAGCAGAGTGCTGTTATCACACACTTGCGATAGTCTTACAGAGAACCAAATATTTTTGTTGGCAGGTTACAGAGCAGAAAGAATATCGTGTGTTAGGGTAGCAAGAGCTTAACAGATGTTTCAGGGAACTAAATTTTCAAATCCTTTCCCATTAAGACTTGGCCAGGGTTTGCAGAAGTTCTGAGGCTATTGGGTTACGTTTCCTGCTGCAGCACAAAGCCAGCCGTTGGGCTGCGCTTTTAGCAGATGTGTGAATGGTGGGGAATAAAACTTGGGTCCTGTCGCTGGGCATGAACTACAACTAGAAAAGCTCAGCCTACCACCCTTTCAAACCCCAAGCAATTGTAGGAAAACCATTCTGCATTTCATTTTCCAGGGTTTTAGAGGCGGGTAATTGAACCGTTTTTTGATCCCCTCACTTAAGATAGGTTTTTAGAATTACAAGTTGTACTTAAAACATTTGCTGTTGAAAGTTGTAAGGAATATTTTTAAGGACTCCACAAGTCTTCTGAATGTCTTAATTCTAGCTAAAACAAGAACTTTTGTGATTCTGCTCTAACTATAGGAGTTGCTCAGAAATGCAGTCGTGGCAAGGAGCAGATCTGCACATTTGGGAGCGACTTGCTTCTACCTAATGATCATGTCTGCCTATCCATGGTAGGAGTCTGGAGAAGGCCTCACATCTCAGCAGCTCCAAATATTAGTGCTTGCTCTAGGGTGTATTGTTTCCTTTGGAGAGGGTATAGATGGATTACATGGATTAATGTCTGGAGTGTCAGTGTTAGAGCTGTGCTGAGCAAGAGCTCTCTTCCATCACATGCATTTCACGGGCTGTATCTCTAGTAAGACACAGGGATGGTTATTTTGTTGAATGCTGACACTGTACCCCTTTTTGCAGAACAGTCATCATATCAAATAGACTGCATCAGATAATGGGAAAGACATACGAAGATGGTGAAGAAATGGCCAAAAAGTTGTTAATAATTTTGGAAGGATTGTGACAAAATTCCTCTATGGGTTCAGAATTTCTGTATCCTCTCTAGTAATAAAATGTAATATAAGCTGGCATGCTACCAAACTTGCATTTAACTGATGTATATTTTAAATCCCTGTTAAAATAAGTATGGCATGAAATATGAAAGCCAATTAAAGCAGCCCCTCATAACCCTCACTCTGGGGAGAGAGAGTCTTCATAGGAGCCTCCTCGTGCGCCCAGCCATAAGGCCGAGGTTGGAGGCTGTGAAGGCTCTGGAATTCCCAGAGCTCGTCCCAAAGTTGGGGCCATTAAAAATTCCTTGCTCCTTCCCTAGATTCTTGCAGAATTTCAGAATGTCCTGCCCATTCTATAGCTCCAAGATAGGGAAATGCGTGATCCTTGATGTTTTATACTACAGGTAATGATGTTAGAATTTGAAGTTAAAGGAAATTTCCCTATTTTTCAAGCTGAGAAAGCTGCCTTTTTTTTTTTTTTTTTTTTTTAGCATTGCAGTGAAATAATGAGAAAAGATTTTAAAAGTAAATCTTTTATTTTGGCACTCTAGTATGATGAAGCTGTAATTTCTTACTTGAAAGCTCCAGACATTTTCTTCCTTTGCTTAATTATTTTTCTTCTCTTTAGTTTTTTACCATGTTCTTTTGCAGCCTGCCAAAGACTTGGTCTCCATTTTTTCCTTATTTCTTCTTTCTTATTCAGCTTCATGTGAAGATCTAAACCGCAGCTGAACTGCTGAGGTCTCTCTGATCTGTTATGCAGCGTTGGGCTGCTCAGAGCATAGTTAAGAAACTTTGAGAAGAAGTTTTAGTCCTATTTGAGTGTTGAGGTATTTGGGTACTGGGCAAGATGCTGCAATCTGGCAAAAGCAGTTAAGCACAGGATTAGTTAGCCTTTTGCTTGCTCTCCACTCATATATTACTGTACTAACTAAGAAGAAATTTGCCTTCCTCTTGTAGTAGCATTCTTGATGTTTTCCATACTGAAATATTGTCATTTACTTTATTTGCTGCAAAAAAAAAGTAACTGAAAATCACCAAGGCATCAATTATCTGTTAGTAATGTCAACTAAACCTTAGAACTGTAATTTGGAAGAGACTGTAATAAAGAGTGTTTAATCCATATAGGTAGCATAATTCAGTACTTTCAAAATATTTAACACTTTGAGGGTTTCCTCATTTATTTTGCATCTTTCTGTAGGTTTATTCTTTTTTTCCCCCCCCCTCAAATATTTAGAAAGTTATGGAAGTAGAAAAAAGATGAAAATGTTTGTGAAAGGAAAGGTTCTCTTTATGGGACTTTATTTTCACCATCCTCTCTGAAACTGTATTTTCCTATTTTTATATCATTTGGCAAAAAAGAAAATATCTAATAATAGCACTAGATAATATTTTGGATTTACAGTACCGCCTTTTCCCCTGCCTGGTTAGAATTACATTCTGCTCTCCTGTAAAAGCATATGTATGCTGCTTTGCCACAAGATAGCATGTTAAAATCTTCATGGACTATTTCAGGTCTTGGGAAATGTCAAAATGCCTTTTTTTTTTTTTTTCTTCCCCCCCTGCACTTATATTAATCTAGTATTTTATTGAAAGAATCACTCAGAAAGCAGGAAAAGCAGCTTCATTAAAAATCATTGGAAAAGAACTTGCACATGTTCAGTTCTTTTAGTAGCAGCAAGTCTTTAGCAAGTAGTC